TGCAGCGTTCATGCAACAACCCCTCCGAATCCCGCTATCCGAATCGACGCTCCCGCCAGCACAGCGCTTCCGCCAGCAGCAGAGGCCGGATGCCCTGGCACCCTCGCTGGACAGACATTCCCTAGCGTGTGCGTTTCTTCAGCGGCACATTGCCCACGACCCGGCAACAACACCAACGACAATAGCATCGCGACTCTCCTAACAACCCGCCCCCGAAACCCGCCCTACCTCGCTCGTCGAGCCCTCTGCGGAGGTCGACGGGCGCGGGCCAGAGCACCAAAAGCCCGCCATGTCCATCTACTCAGATCCCCCGGCGCTGCGAGCGTTTTCCGAGGACAAGCCCTCGCTGCTTGTCTGCTGGTGGGCCACCATCTTCTGCGCCCTCATGATCCTGTTTCGCATCGCCGGCCGATTTATCCGAACCGAAAGGCTCTTCTCCGAGGACAAGTTCGCCGCCGTCGCCCTGGTCCCCTTGTTCCTGCGCATGGGCTGCGTCCACTTCATCCTCACCCACGGCACTAACAACGCCGACTTCACCGGCGTCGCCCTTACCCCCGACGAGATTCACAAAAAATCCGTGGCCAGCGGCCTCGTTCTCCTCAGCCGCGTACTCTATGCCGCGACGTAAGTAGTCTTGATGCTTGTAATGTTACTTTGCGCGTTGTGGTGGAGTGAATGAGACGGATAGGTGGATGGACGAATAAATGAATGAACGGATGGGAAGAGACGCATTTGACTGACTGATCCCGAATTGCAGACTATGGATCCTCAAGGGCACTGTTCTCGAATTCCTCAGGCGAATCACCGACCTGTCATGGCAACAGTCACAAAAGTACACGCTAATCGCCATTCGATGGGCCCTTGGCCTCACTTTCATCGCCGTCATCATCAGCGATCTTGCCGAATGCAACCCCTTTCGGCATTACTGGCAGGTCTTGCCTGACCCCGGTGGTCGGTGTCGCCAAGGCTACGTCCAGCTCATCACCATGGCCACCTGCAATATCCTAACCGACCTGATGCTCGTCATCTTCCCCATCCCCATCATCATCCAGAGCCACATGCGACTTCGCAGAAAGCTCCAGCTCCTCATCCTCTTCTCACTCAGCTTGTCCGTCGTGGGAGTCACCCTCTACAGGGTCCCGCGGATTATAGACGTCGACGGCCGGCAGCAGTATCGATCGCTCTTGGCGTCAGTCGAGTTGATTTTCGCCACTGCATCCGCAAACGCCCTTGTGCTGGGCTCATTCGTCCGGGACCGAGGCGTCAAGAAGCAGAAGCCCAGGCGAACGTCGACTGCCGCCGAGTCGTTCGAACGCACAAACACCATCCGAAGGCCAACTATCCACAGACAGTGGGGTAGCGACGAAGACTTGGTCAGGGATGTTGGGATTACCGTCGAACCTGAGCTCCGAGAGCAGCCAGACAGCCCGTCATCCGATCTTTACGCACCCACCCAGCCGATGAGCTCTATCGGACAGGACCGCCAACGGCAATGGCAGCAGCAGCAGCAGCAGCATGAAGAGAGTGGTCATGAAAGCGCTCAGGAGAGTGCTCAAGCGAGCCAGGACTTGTTGATCTACAAGACCGAATCCCAGCACGGATCCCAGCACGAATCTCGAAAACTTTCATTGTTCGATGTCGGTGGCCTTCTTGAAGAGGGACCCACCACCAGCAGCGGAAGTTTCCGAAGAGGGAGCAGCTTTACCTCGTCTTCCCAGGAGGCAAGCTCCTCTCAAGCGGCCATCCCTCAGGCGTCCCGAAAAGCCAGCACAAACGGCGTCCGACGTGGCTCAACAGCCCTGTTGCAAGATCTGGGTGGTCTTCTAGGCCCCCTGAACTCAAAGTCATCAGTCCGTTCCAAGCACAGAACTGGTACTGAACTGCAACCGATCCCACAATCTCATCAGGAGCATCACGCTTCTCCAAGCGACTCGTCAAATCTCGTCCTCATGGACCCTGGTGGTCTGTTGCGATCATGAGACGAAGGCGCACTCTACGGCAGCCGCACCCACCTGCCGTTTAAGTAATTGAGAAAATAACGAACTAATCTACGACTTGATATCACGAATCTCTTAATTCCTTCTGGGAAATATTTTTTTGGCCCTTTTTGTTTTTTCCTCTTCCACCTTTACCTTTATATCTTTAGATATGACCCGTCAGGCATGGCGTTGACGAAAGTACTTTTCGCTGTATACATATACACATATATATACATATAGTACACTTCTTTTCTGTTTCTGTTTCTTCTCTTTTTTTCTCTTTTTTTTTCCCCTGGCATCAAGAACGATACCTTTGGCGGAAACGATGGTGTTTTGATGGCTTTGGCATTATCCAGTTTTTTTTGGAATGAAGCTGAGGAAGCGGCGACAAGCGATGAGAAAGATGAAGGAAGCGGGAGGCAAATGCGATTTGTTTTATTTGCCAGGGACTTTGGCAAGCATATACCCCGGTGACTAGCACCGTTTTTTCGAAGAGGGGGTGCCTTGTACGTTGAAGGGCATGGTTGATGATGGGATGAAGAAGACGTGGTATGAATACGTTGAGAATGGAAACGATTTAAACGTACATTTTGTGTGTTCGCATGAGTCCCTATGTGCTTGTATGTGCCGTGATATTCATGAGTATTGAAAACACGTCTACCGGCCTACATCCCTAGGTAGTTCTATATAGTTCGCAGTATTCATGCGGCTACTTTTGGACGCCGTGGAATATACTTTGTAATTTATTTGAATTGGTTTGTTTCGTAATTCTAGTAATTAAGCCCCCCCAAAACGCCAGCTTTCACACTGCAAATGCAAAACAATATATCAAACAGCTTCGTCTGCTGCTCCCCTTCAGCTGAAATAATCCAACTTGAAAATTTTGCCTTTTTTTCCCCTTCAGTTTTTCCCCTTCAGTTACTCCCCCCGCGAGCACATGCCCTCCCCCAATTTCCATCCCCATCTCCCAATGTCTCTCTACTCAAACAAGCTGGAAGACATGAGGGGGCAAAAAGTTCCCATTAGACGCACAACCGGTAACTGGCATATCGACCCGCCGTCTCACTGACTCGGATAATCTTGACGACCTGCCCTCTCTTGAGCCCCAGATACCGCGCGACGGGGTCCTTCTGCAGGATACGCGGCAGCTGCGTCTCCTTGAGGCGGTAGCGCTTGAGCAACGCAATCTTCTCCTCGCGGGAGAGCAGCACGTGGCGCGGCACCAGCTCGTGGTGGGTGATGTTGACGAGCAGGTCGTCCTCGAGGAAGCACTCAATCTTGGCGAGGTTCTCGACGCTGGCGAGGGACTTGCGGGCGGCGGGGGACAGCGGCACGTGGGTGACCATGATTCCCGTCTTGTAGTTGTTGGAGATTGTGTACTTTGCAAACTGGCGGATCTGGCCGACGCCGAACTGCTTGTCCGTCAGGAACTCGACCCAGATGGGGCCGCAGTCGGGCACGGGGTCCGGGTTGGAGGCTGTGGCGGGAGGGGTATTTTTGCGGAGCATGGAGTCGCTGGGACGGGCGGAGAACTGGAGTTTGGCGCGGCTGTTGCGTGTGAGCGTTAGCCTTTTTTTTTTTCTCTTCTCTTTCTTCTGTAACGTGGACAAATGATATTTATAGAATGGAGGGGGGATGGGGGGGGGAAAGACGGGAAAGGTGGTCGTACTTTACGGTGCCGTCGGGATGGCAGTATTCGTCGCGGAACCGGTCGAGAGAGATGGTGACTTCGTCTTCGGCGAGCTCGTACTCCTGAACAAGGCAACACGGTCAGTCAATCGTTTTCAATGACACGATACGCCAAAAAGGCAGGCACAGTAGGATGAGAGAGCGCCATACTCGGTCCGCAACCATCTCGTGAACAGTCCTCCACGCGCGCCAGAGTCTCACCACCTCCTTGGACTTGGCATCGTTGGGCAAATCCTCAATCATCTTGGGCGAGCTGGTGATTTTATCGCTTCGAAAAGAGGTGCAACGAGGAGAGAGATCGACAAGGGCCAGAGGTCGGAGGAAAGGCGAGGCTGCGCGTTGTCGCGATGAGTTTATTTTTTTTTTCCCCTTTGCTCCAAAGTTCCGCTGCGCAGGAGAGATGGGCGGTCGTTCAAAAATTGTTTGCGCAGCCTTGCATTGGCTGGGCTCGCTGGGCGATTTACTGGGGCCGCTCGGAGCTGATAAGGACGTGTCATGTGACTTGGCTGATAAGTTAGTAAGCAATAACGTGGCCATAGAGGGAGGCGCCTTAGTACGTATAAAGCTTTCCAAAGTGAGTTGGAAACCAAATTGAGCCTCGCGGATGGCTTAGCCTGGCTATCCTAAGCAGAATCAAGACGCAAAATGCAACATTGCAGTGGAATTGCTCAATTGAGGCTGCATACGGGCAGGACAGGTACATACACGCACAGGTACGTACTGGCTTCTGCGGCATCTTCAGGCTTCTCATTGGCTCCCCCAGCTCTCTCCCCCCACTCAATCCCACTTCGGAAACCCTCCGCAGCAAACCAGAAGCACTTTAGCACTTCACCAAACAAGATACTTGCTGCTCTCAACAGCTCCAACTCTCGCACTTAAAGTTTCTCACTAAAACTCGCCCTGACTTGGCACCACAGTGTCCTCTACAGCAGCGGTCTTCAGTGGACGTTATAGCATCCCAATCGCTAGAATATACCTGTAAAATTCCAATTGTATCGCTGCTTAAAGTAAAAAATCCGTTGAATTCGACTGTTGAGCCTTGAATTCTACATTGATTTTTTTTTTTTTTGGTGTGGGCCCCAGACCATTGAAGAACAACGTGGTGCGTCCAGGGCAATTTTTTTTTTCACCACCAAATTATTGGAGAGTGTCGACTTCGGCTTTTTTTTTCCTCCTCTTGCTACGTCGCACCAACTCATCGTCAACTTCGCCCTTTTCCCTCCCTCCCCCCCGGTTCCCATTCCATCCTCCATAGGGAAGTCGTGACGGCTTCGTCTGGCCTCTTGAACCTTTTCAGAGAATCTATTCTGCCCATCGGCTCTGATTAGCACAATGGCCGCTCCCGCTGCTGCTGCTGCCCCCGCGGCTGATTCTGCGCCTTCTACTCGCCCGACTCGACCCGACGAGAATGTCTTTAAGCAGGAGCTCGCCAAGGCCGAGAAGGAGCACAAGGCTTCCATGGACAAGTTTGTATGTTTTCTCGTGGCGTGGCTGCTGTTCCCTTGGCGTTTTATACCTCCATTCTTCGATTTATAAGAGGCTTTACTCGAGTGTGTGCAGTGACACCATCTCAACTTGCTCTCCCCAACAAAAACTGGCAACTCGCATAATGAAGAAGATGTAAAGGAGGGAAAAAAGAGGAAAAGAAGGAGAAGAGAAGAGGATGATGACGGGAGGCAGATTGTCGATTGATGCCGGACTTGTGCTAATATACCATCCATTCATTAGAACGCCATCAAGGCCAAGATTGACGTTGCTCTGCCCAACAAGAACAAGGACCAGCCCAGCCCTACCCAGAAGCGTCGCCAGGAGCTCATTGCCCAGGCCAACGAGATCCGCCAGAAGCAGGCCGGTGGCAAGAATGCCCGTACCTCCAAGCTGGACCAGATCAAGCGCTTTGACGAGCAGCTCCGCAGCCGTATCAACGAGCAGAAGACTGCCAAGGCCAAGGTCCCCTACAAGAGCGCCGAGGATATCGACCGCCAGATTGAGTCTCTCGACAAGCAGGTCAACTCGGGAACCATGAAGCTCGTCGACGAGAAGAAGGCCCTGACCGACATCTCCAACCTTCGCAAGCTCCGCAAGAACTTTGGCCAGTTCGACGAGGCCCAGAAGCAGATTGACGATCTGCGCGCCAAGATCAAGGAGATCAAGGACTCCATGGAGGACCCCGAGCAAAAGGCCCTGTCCGAGCAGTACAACAAGATCCAGGCCGAGATCGACACCATCAAGGCCGAGCAGGATGAGGCCTACAAGAGCCTGTCCACCCTCCGTGACGAGCGCACCAAGCTGCAGGCCGAGCAGCAGGAGAAGTTTGCCGCCATCCGCAAGCTCAAGGACGACTACTATGGCGCAAAGAAGGCTTACCAGGCCTTCGAGCGTGAGGCCCGCGAGAAGCAGCGCGAGCGCCAGCGCCTGGAGCGTGAGAAGTACGTCCAGGAGCGCAAGAAGGCCGATGCCGAGCGTGTCCTTGCCGAGGCCAGCGAGCCCGCCTACCTCGACGAGATCCGCCGCGCCAACAGCCTGCTGGTCTTCCTCGACCCTACTTTCAAGGCTGAGAAGACCCCTCTGCTGGCCAACTCTGGCCTGACTGCTCAGGCTCAGCGCACCGTTGACGAGGCTGGCCTCAAGGGTACCAAGCTTGTCCGCAAGGAGGACCGCGATGACGAGTACGCCCCCGCCCAGTCCAAGGGCAAGAAGGGCAAGAAGGGCAACAACGCCGGTTCCGCCCAGAAGGGTTTCAACTGCCCTCCCTCCGTGGTCGAGGACTGCACGTTCCTCTCGCTTGAACCCCCCATGCGCAAGGAGGACGTGCCTGAGCTGATTGAGAAGGTCAAGGCCAAGCTTGAGCACTGGAAGGAGGACCAGGCTGCCCAGACCCAGCGTGTAAGTGCCTTAACCCCTTGAAAACAGCAATTTTTTTCAGAAAAACATTGACTAATTGACCCTGAACAGAACATTGAGAAGGCCAAGAAGAAGCTCGAGGAGATTGAAAAGGCCGAGGCCAACGGTGAAAAGGTCGAGGAGGTCGCCGCCGACCTCAAGGACGCCTCCCTCGAGGACAAGGAGAAGCAGGAGGAGTCATAAACGGCTCTTCCCGAGTCTCTTGTTACCCCTTGCAGATCAAAACAGCCATCGACAACCATCGAAAGCCGATGGCAACCTCTTTCTTTCAACCTTTCAAAAGTTACGTTCATCATATCAAGCTGACGAGCCTCATCTTTCGATCCCAGCTCTGCCCTCGTCTCTTCATACATCGCCATATTATATACCTCTTACATCGTCAGCTTCAAGAATGTAGACTCCCGGGAGTTTTTCCTTGGGAATCAAAAAAAGAAGGAATCTGTTTTTTTTAAACATGTCCATGCAAGGGAAACGAGAAAGAATAAAAAGAAGGTAGGTAGCGGGAGAAGGCGATTCCATTTCGGAAACCTCTCTATCACCCCCTATATCGTTATACGTGTCCACCGCGCGTGTTGGGTTGTTTTTTTTTTGTTACAAGTTTTTTATCTAGTTTTTTTTTAGCTTTTTGTCATCTCTTTATTTTGTACCTAGGTATATCTATCTTTATTCCTCTCATGGGAAAAGGAGTTTAGGCCCAAGCACGAAATATACACCTCATGATTTGATGTAACAAGAAAAAAGCAAGAGTTTCAAAGAAAGAAAAAAAACACTCTCTCCTCTCCTCTCCTCTCTGCAACATGACATGTGACGCCCGGCACTTTGTACAAGCCGAATCTTTTTTGTTCATTCTCGGTGAGTGTGATGGTTTTGAGTGGCTGCTTTCTCAGCGGCCTGCATCCGAGGCCATCAAAAGGAGCTGCATGCGTTGTGCGTCTAGGGGGGAACACAGAATACAGTTCAATTGATCACATGTGAATTGGCTGGCACCAATTGAAAGCCAAACTACTAGAGGCCGCATCCACAGCTGTTCGACGCATGAACAAGCCAAGGCGGGTAGTTGAGCAACATTCCCTCACCGCGTTTGTGAGCTTGACTCGTAGTATAGGAGGTGTTCAAATTCATTCATTTAGATGTTTTCGCCTTGATCAACTAATTTCAACTATTTTGAGAATCTCATCTCGATAATTGCCCACCACGAGAAGCCGTGCTGCACGTAGTTTCTCATACGGACCAGTTTGATCCTTCACTATGGACGGGTTTCATGACGAGACACAAAGAATCCAGTTCGTACGAGTTACTCCTCTCATGGCCCAGCCACCCACACCTTGACCGTGGTTCATGCTGTGTTCCAGACAAAATCATTCGCTTCCTTTGATGCATACTTTATACGCCAGGCTGAATGGTATGTATGTGTGTGTGTGTGTTTCCAAACTCGTCTAAACACAGTGATCCAAAATCTTGCAAATGTAGCCAAAAAGAAGAGAGAGAGAGAGAGAAAGAGGGAAAAAAAGTTCCAACGTCCGGGGTTCCAAAGTAAGGCTACTCCAACTACCATGCAATCATGCCATTCCCATTCCAGACAAATGAAACCAAATGGTGATCGTACATGTCGTGATGCTTTTGTCGCAGAGGGGGTGGACGTAAAAAATAAAATGATGTGTAGACTGTTTGTGCCTCTGGTGCTCTCATATCATGATGAAAGAAAAGGGTTCAATCATTTTTTTTTTTTTTAATTTGCTTATTTCTTTTGGTATCTCCTTATTCGGCCTATCCAAATGGTGCGTAGTATGATGAAGATGGGTGATGTTGGGGAGGTGGCGGCCTGAATGTCCTTCGGTCTCGCGGCGTTGCGGCGGGTGCTGGGGTACGACGCTCCATGAGGGCATCGCGATCTGCGTGAAAGGAAGACGGGGGGGCTATAGCAGGAGGAGGAGCGGAACCAGCGCTGGCACTGATTGAGCCAGCTCGACGGCTCGGCTTTCGAGGAGGAGGAGCAGTCAAGGGAGGGTTCTTTACAGCAGCCTCGTCATCGGCGGGAAGGGTGAGCTCAATGAGGCTATAGAAGTATTCGAGGACTTCGGGGTAACGTTGCACGCTGGCCTGCCAATCCTCATCGATGCCTCGCTTCAGAGTTGCCTGAGCTTCGGCGATCTGGTTTGGATGTGGCGGCGCGTTGTAATGGTAGAATGCGTGGGCAGTGATGTGGTCGAGATGAGCCGAGTGGGCCGTCTTTCGTCGCTCGGCAAGTTGACGGAAATACTCGAGAATATAATCTTGAGCATGGGCCCTTACCCACGAACTATTATCTCACGGATTAGTGGACGCTCAACCTCAGCATCAAGGGCGGTCAAGGCAGGGCAGCATAAAGAGAAGATGAAAGGGTGAGACCAACCGTATGTCACTATAGATGGATCGCATCATGCGCTCCTCGGCCTGCTTAACGGCCACTTCGAGGCCCTTCGCCTCGCAGTCACAGGCCATCGAGGCCGGAGCATGGCATATGGCGCAGTCCGGATCCATCCTGATGAAGGACTTGCGCACCTTGGTATCTCTGGTATGCATCTTAGCAATGGGGTATCTTTGGATTTAGGCGGGAAGGCGTTGTTTAGGTTGAAAAGGTGTAATTGAGAGAATATCCCAGGGAGAGACGGGTAGGAAACGGAATACGGGCTAGTATTACACAACGCAGAAGGCATTCAGGCACGCGAGAGAAAGGGCACGGTGGGCTTGTTGGCAGGCAGTCAACCGCAGTAGCAAGGCCTCACTCCCCCCTTGGCAAGCCCATGGACGGGCTTCATGGGGAATGCAAGTGGGAAAGTCGGGAGATGTTGGCAGATATCGGATGGAAGATGCGGTATATGGGCAGAGAAGAGGAGTGGAAGAGGAGGGGGTAGGGGATGGAAGGGAAGGGAAGGGAGAGAGAATGGAAGAGAGAGAGAGAGTGTGCGAGAGAGCGAGAGAGCGAGAGACTGACCTGGCTGAGGAAAGGATAAGACAAGCAGAAGCAACGATGGGCTCACGCCAAGCGGTAAAGGGAATAGAGGAAATGCCAGCAGAAGCAGCGGCTTGTGCTAGATCAGAAGGCTGACGGTGTCTCGCCGGTGAGTTGGGATGTATCCTGCAAGCACAAGCACAAGCACAGCGCAAGCACAAGCACGAAGCAGCTCTGGCGGCGTCGGGCCCAGGATGAAGCTTTCCGGAGGGGACCAGAAAGAGGGCCTTTGGGAGGGACAAGATCTCAAGGTCCGGGACCGAAGCGTGGGGAAGGCCAAAGGGCAGCTGCAGCACGACGAGCGTGTCCTCGGGGTCGAATGAGGAGGCGGCAGGTGGGTGACCAGCTGTCGTGGCTCGAATGCGGGATCGAGGAGCCTATGCAGGCTAGCCTAACGAGCAGCGAACTGGCCCAACGAAGACGAAGGTGCCCAAGGAGGAGAGGAGAGTCTGTCGAGCAAGCGACGTCTTTTGTGTGGTGGCAAGAGGGCTTGCTTGGGGAGGGCAAAAGAGAGAAAATCCGAGATGGCAAAGAGCAGGCCAGACTGGGCTGAGTAATTAATTCCGCTGGCTGCCAGAAAAGACACAGGCAGACAGACGCAGAACAATGCCAGCTGGTTTTTGGACGTACGTGTGCTCGTAGTATCCCCCAGGCCGTACTCGTACAGTATCTGCCGTGGCCGAGACGCAGAGTCGCAGTCCGTCTTTCCCGCAGCAGCACTTCGTACTTGTAATCTAAAAGGTGGCGGTCGATTCTCGCAGTCTGGATATGTGGCCGCTGGCGTCTCGCTGTCCGTGCAGCAATGGAGCCGCTGGTGTCACACAAGCAAGACACGACACACACACACACACACACGCACACGCACAAGGGAGGCTGGTGGACCGACCGCTGACTTGTTGACCGTGGTGAGGAGAGAAGATGGGCTGGTCTCATGCAGCGAAAACTCAGCGGGCGGGCCAAACCGATTGACGGCGGTTTCGTCTCACCAATCGGGTCTGGCCTTAGCGAGACACTGATATCCTCTGCCTGCAGCGGCCCCGTCGTCTCCGTGCCGGTGGCCTTTTTCTCGAGCTGCTTGTTCCCTTGTGTTTGCCTGCGGGCGTGCTGTGCCGTAGACTGTATGTGTTATGTATGTATGTACAAGCAGGTGCTTGCTGCGGGAATGCGGGCAAACAGGTGGGAAAGTCACCTGCGGATGGAGACGTTTGAAGCCGCAAATCTGCGAGTAACAGCATCAGCCTCAGACCAGCCAGGCCGACGAGCGGGCATCTGTACATGGACTAGCAGCTGGCAGCCCAGCCCAGCCAGAGAGATTTCACCGCACTTTGTAGCATTGGGAAGCGGGCTCGAGCATGCACCGTCGAATCACGAGGGGCGGGACATGCATGGACGAGGCCCGCCGTTGGCCGGATTGCACCAGACAGACCCTGTGGACAAGGCTGCGAGGAGCTAGAGGAGAGGAACCCTAGGCTAGCCGGCAGCCAGCAGAGAGGTCACGATGCGCCGAGGATCGCTGGGAGAACTGGTGATGCGATGCGATGCGATGCGATGCGATGCTGGCAGTGGTAGAGATCTGCCATGCTCTGGCCGTTGACTGTTGACTGTTGACTTGTCTGCTCTGCTCTGCTCTGCTCTGCTCTGCTCTGCTCTGCTCTGCTCTGCTCTGCTCTGCTCTGCTCTGCTCTGCTTCGCTTCGTCCCCTCCGTGAGAAGCTGCTGTCGGCTGTACACACATCTTGGTACACGGCACTGACGATCTGATAGCTGCCAGCAAATCAAATCACAAGCTGCGTGCTTTTCCTCCTTCTCCTCTTCTCCTCTTCTCCTCTTCTCTTCGCTGTCACGGATTCGACATGGGGGGGGCTGAAAGAGCCAGGGTCCAGCGATTGGCCTCGAAGCGGGGGCGGGAAGGCGAAATGGAATCAAGCCTGGAAAAAGTCGAGCGTTGCCAGCTCAGCCAAGTCCAGCCGGCAGCAGCAACTGCAACTGCAACTGCGCTGTAATCAAACAACCTGCAGCGTGTGTACAGGGTACATGTACATGCAAGTTGCACAAATCCATCGAGTGCAGACTGACTCATTCGCACACGTCGTTATGCACCCGATGCACTTCGTACCAGCTCGTACTCGTACAGACAACTGCTAAGGCTTGTGGTAGCAGCAACTCCAGCCTCCCATCTTCTGCCGTGCTACTCATTATAGCGGCTGATCAAGCTTCTGATGGTTGATTCAGTTGAGTCTCTGATCGGCTCTTCCAACCCCGCCATGCCCGCTATTATGCCGGCGCTGGTGGGGTCAAGCCCCGGCTACAGGCCGTAGTCATCACTAGAACCCCTCCAATCCTCCATGGCCAGTGGGAGCCATTTGAGTTCCAATCTTATCTTATCGGCGACCGCGGCATCGTCAAAATTTCTGGTGCATCAATGCGGCATCACTAGATATGCTCATGGGCAAGCAACTATAGCTGCGCAAACAATTCTATTCCCATCATGCCGCCTCGGTGTCCCGGCTCATATCAGCTGCCTCTGGCGCCGTTCCTCTACCCGGCGCTCTTTCGCCCTCGAATCGTCCACTCTGCGCTGCTCCGAACGGCCCTCACTCGCCACTCTTCGTCCTCTTCATCTGCCTTGAACAGCCTCCCCGAGTCGCGACTGAATCCCGCACCGGACGACTATGCGGCGCCAAGCTTTGCTGATAAAGCCGAATTGACGCTGTATGCCGGCCGTGGAGGCAACGGCTGCGTCTCCTTCCAGCGAGAGGCTTTTCTCCCCGACGGCCCCCCCAACGGCGGCGATGGCGGCATCGGGGGCAATATCTATATCCAAGCGGCGCATGGCGAAACCTCATTACATAAATTAGCACGCAGGCGTTTCGTTCGTGCCGGACGCGGAAGGCACGGGCAGGGAAGTGGAAAAGGCGGCATGCGAGGAGAGGACGTTGTCATTACCGTTCCAGTAGGCACAATCGTCCAGGAGATTGAGCGCCATGACCCAGCTGCCGAAGAGGAGATGGCCATGAAGGCATATCAGGCGCTGAAGAAACAGAGACGGCGCGAGCTTTTGGCTCAGCAGCAACAAGAATTGGTGTTGGAAGCAGAAGCAGAAGAAGATGATGTGGATGTGGATGAGCGACGCTCAAAGAAACACAGTCCCGAGGACGACTACGATCCAGATGCCGACGATCCGGAGCGGGAGAAGTGGCTTCTCCATCCTGGCATGTCCAAAAACGACATGAAATCAGCAGAGTTTCCCAAGCTGCCCAAGCGGACTCGCTTCTTCCAGCAGCCTGCTGCGCCAGTCTATCTCGACCTCTCCAGACCAACACCCACGCCCATCTTGCTGGCCGTAGGGGGCATCAACGGCCTCGGAAACCCTCATTTCACTTCGAGGAATCACCCCCGACCTGTCTTCGCCACCAAGGGCGACGAAGCCGTGACTATGAAAATCTCCCTGGAGCTCAAGCTCCTGGCCGACGTAGGTCTGGTGGGCTTGCCCAATGCCGGCAAAAGCACTCTCCTGCGAGCTCTCACCAACAGCCGCACCCGGGTTGGCAACTGGGCTTTCACGACCCTGCAGCCCAACATCGGCACCGTCGTTTTAGACAGATACTCTGGCCGCCCCAGCGTCAAACCGCGCCGCCAACGTTACGCATCTTCATCTCAGGAAGCCAGCACTGAGGATTCCACCCTGGGAGAGCCGCGGACTCGATTCAGTGTGGCAGACATCCCAGGCCTCATCGAAGGAGCCCATCTCGACCGCGGCCTCGGCATAGCCTTCCTCCGCCACGTCGAGCGCGCAGGCGTCCTCGCGTTCGTCATCGACCTTGGCGCCGGCAACGCCGTCAAGGCCCTCCAGTCCCTCTGGCGCGAAGTCGGCCTTTACGCCGAGATGCGCCAGGAAGAAGAGCGTTTGCGCGAGATCGAGGCCCGAGTCGACTGGGACCTCGTCTCCCAGGCCACGCGCGGCCCCGTCAACCTGATGGGCGCCTCATACGGCACCCCGCTGCCCATGCAGGAGGCGCAAACCCGGACGCCGACGCTGCACATTGCGGGCAAGCCCTGGTTCGTCGTCGCTACCAAGGCGGATTTGTCGGGCACGCAGGACAACTTCCGGGAGCTCAAGACGTATCTGGATGATGTGACGGAAGGGCGAGAGCCGCACCCGAGTGGCGTTGAGGGGGCATGGACGAAGAGCTGTGCGGCTATTCCAGTCAGTGCAATTCACGGCCAGGGGGTTGACCGGATTGTTCACTGGACTGTTGGACTTTTGGACGAGTAGAATTGTCGCGTTGAAGATGGGGTTAGAGGCGGGATATGTACGATATGCTTGGGATGGCAGCGCTTTGTATGAATAGATGCGATGCACGGACAAAAGAACTGTTTGGACAAAACGAAAATAAACATGTAGATATAAGTACCTAAATAGAGGGTTCTACCAATTTCTTCCAAAAAAAAAGCCCCAATTGTACATTTTTCATCATTCTCGCCGCATTCAATCAGACCCTTCCGGGGTGGGAATATCCTCCAGGTCAATCTCCTGCTGTTCCTCCTCCTGCTGCTGCTGCTCTTCAGCCGCCTTCTTCTCCTTCCTCTGCAGACTAATGTTAATCAACGGCGAAGTGTCGTTAAACACCCTCAGCAGCATCGCCGACCGATCCTCCTTGGGCAGCATCAAGTTCAGCGAATGAATGCTCTTCCACAGCGGCAGCGCCATCCTCTCCTGCCACTCCTGGTCGTCGCCCTCGGGCTCGACCCTCAGCACGCAGCACCCCATGCCAATGTCGCGCACCCGCTCGCCAATCTCCTCAAAGTTCTGCCACCCGCCATCGCTGATCTTGGGGAACATCTCAATCAGGAGCTTGTGCAGCGTCTCCTTGTTGCGCAGCCGCACGATGCGCGTCTCGCCGACGTAGCCCTGCAGGATGGGCATGCCTTCGGCCTGGATGCGCCAACGGCACACTTCGGCCGAGGGCGCGTCCTGCTTCATGAACATGCGGACGCCGCCGTGGATGAATTTCAGGCCGCGGCCCTCGTTTTCCGTGAGGATGTCGCGCATCAGGGCCGTGGTGTAGTAGATGGCCTTGGCAGGCTCTCCCATCTCGTTTCTCACCATGTATCGGTTGGTCGGGAAGCGGCTGGACAGTTTATAAAAGTCCTTGATGTTCTGGATGGTCGGGTGATCGGCGTCGAGATACTTGAAGGGCTCTTCAACTGGCCCATTTCTCTTGGGCTTGCCGGGACGGTCCTCGCGCTGTGTGGTAGGGGCGGGAACGGGAGTGGCAGCTGCTGGGCTTTCCTCTCCGGTTTTGGTCTTCTTGGCTGGCTGCTCTGCACCATCTTCGGTCTCCAGGGGGCGCTTGCTAGCCGCTGGGGAGGCATCGTCCATTGGTTCATCCTCCTTCTTTTCTTCCACTACGGCAGACTCCTCCGGCTTTGCCTCGGTAGCAGGAGCGGCGGGGGTCTCAGAGGCTTCGCTCGACTGGGCGGTCTCCTTTGCCTCGTTCTCCGGCTTCGCCTTGAACTCAGACTTCTTCTCCAAAACAGTGATGAAGAAGCCACCGGTATCCTGCAGGTGGGGGTAGACTCGCATGCAGCGGTCCAAAGGTAGTTTGGTCCCCGCAGGGTCTGGGAACATGGATGACTGAAGCCGTCCAGGAATCACACCCTCGTTGCTCTCCTTGGCGAACTTCTCGACCTCCTCCCATGAGCTCCAAATCCTAGCACTCTTGTCCATGATTTTCCACGTCTTCAGACCGGGTCGTCGCACGAGGCCAGGGAGCTGGTCACTGGAGTCGACAATCTCAACATTGTCCAGGCCACCACATCTCTCAATGGCAGCAGCAATGATCGATTCGTTCTCGACTGGGTTCATGCTGCATGTGGAGTACACAACGCGGCCACCAACTTTGAGGAGCTGTAGGGCTCGGACCAGGATACGGATCTGGGTGACGTGCAGTCCCAAGGCACTACCCGGCTGCCAGTCCTTCCACAGGTTAGCATTCTTTCGTGCTGTTCCGTCTCCGGAGCAGGGAACATCGGCCAAAATTCTGTCAAATTTGAGGTAGACGGGCTTGTTGGAGTTTGGTTCGGTCGAAGGCAGCTTGATGGAGGGGAACTGAGTAGCATCGTGATTCATCACAAGCAGGTTAGGCGATGACAGTCTCTTAAGCTGATGGACAAGAAGATGGCCACGCTTGTAATCGGCATCGTTGGCGATGAGCAGGCCCGTGGCGCGACCGGCATCAGAAGGGTCGGCCTCGAGATCGGCTTCGGCTTCGTCCTTGGTCTCGGCACCGAGGTCCAAACCATCCTCCTTGGCGAATTCTCGCAGAACCTTCCTCACGCGAGACTCTTCGCCAACGTGGAGCATCTCCAGCAGCTGAGCAGACTTGCTTCCCGGCGCGGCGCACATGTCCAGCACAGTCATGCCTGGTCGGAGATCCATCAGAAGAGGGGGGATCATGCTGACGACTTCCTGTCTGCTGATGTTGCCGACACTGGTTTCAGAGACGAGGAACTTTTGGAAAGCCGCAAAGGGCGGGAATTTGCGAACAACGTTCTTGGGCGTAGTCATCCACCAAGCGAGTTCGTCGGGATACCAGGACACCGGTTGGGGAGGGTCGACGGGGCGGCCATCCTGGTGTTCAATCTTGACGATTTCGGGAATGTATCGGGATCGCAAAAGTCTCTCGACGGCGAGCGCGTGTCTATGCGACAAAATTTAGCGTTGAGCGCAAGGAATCAGGCTGACACAGGGACGGATTGGAAAAATCAGCATGAGCGCGCAAAGCGCAACGTACCCCTTGGAGCCGCAGAAGCGGAAGCTGTTGGGCAGCTCGCGCCTCAATGCCTCCCAGAACTGCGTCTTTTCCTCCTCGGGAAGCTGCAGCAGCGAGTCGTAAAAGTCCTGGAGCTTCTGATTCTCCTTCTTGAGAGCAGGGTAGTCCCTCCAGCTTTGGCCGCGATCGCCGCCTCCTCCGCGTCCACCACCGCCTCCACGACGTCCTTTTCCCTGTATATGAGGAAGAAAGCATCAGTATTTGGCAATCGCTTCCAATTGAAGCCGCCGGTTCATCGATGAAACTCACTCTGAAGCCCTTCTTGCCCATCGTTGCGATTTGACCTGCTGGCGTTTGGAGCTTGTGATGGCAGGTTGGAAATTTTACAGGATAGAAAATCTGGATGCCCCGCTGTATCGCGGGTAGAATGCGCTAAAAGCCAGAGGGTGGGTGGCGCCAAACCTCAAATTTAGAAGACCAAGGGCGCTAAGGTAATTATACACCTAGTGTACGAGAACACTAGGTATGTAGGTATATGGCTTCCATATCTTCCTACTGCAAAGTAACTAGTAGGTAGATAATTGTAGGAATGAAACATGTAATTCAGGCACTATAGCAACTATAAAAGGCATTTACGGAAAATATGGTCGATTGTTAACAACAATCACTCTGAAATAATCCCTAACGAAGGGTAAATTAAGCAATGGTCGATAATTTGGCAATCTGATCACTCTTCTTCTTCTTCAACGTCTGCCTCTGCGCCCTCTAAGTCAACATTGACATCATTATCGTCGCATGAATCGAGCGTCAAAAGGGGTTCAAGCCCTTCTATCGGGGCATCAGTCTCAACTGCATCTCTCGGTGCGATATCATAGAAAGCTAGAAATCGAAAAGGGCCGGTTGGATATCGTGCAGGGGCGAGTGAGCTGTCTGTTCGTTCACCACGCATACCTCTCAAGAATGGAGGACCGCGTCCCCAAAGCCGGATTGAATCGCTTGGAGATGTAAAAGTACACGGTCGGTTGAGCATTGAGCACCATTTGCACACATGATAATCTTCTATGGTTGTGTCTCTTTCACATTTGCTCCATGCATTCTGCCCACCCCGCTGCGTGTATTCGCAGAAGTCACACTTTATCGTTGGGGCTTGAAGGTTCGCATCTGTGTGGTTAAACGATTGTCCTTTCCAGAAATCGGATTCCACCGGCGGCGGTTGAATGGGATTTACCAATGTTGGCCACGTTAGATACTGTTGATACATCAACCGACAATTCTCCTCAAAGTCAACAAGTCTTGGTGCAGCTAGTGTTTGCGATTTTGTCGGAATCCAAGACATGGATTGATCGAGGTGGCTATGGACAAGCTCGACAATGTTGGCTGTCGCAAAATACGCAACTTTGTTGAAACCATTGAGTGGCCCTGTGTAGATGATTCGCTCAAAGATCTGGATCGTCGTCATTGCTTTAAACCAAGCGCTCAACGCGAGATTGCGATCATTGTTGATAATCCCTCGGCCAATAGCTCCTGCCCAATTCAGAGCGTGGATAGGAATCGATAACCATTTACCATCAGCTTTCCATACTATTCGGATTCCAAGACTCGATGCTTTACCAAAGTCTTCAAAGGGGCCAATCGTCGGGCACCCAACGTACGGGGTATCATGAGGTCTGCCGTCCTCCATAATCTCAAAATCAAGATAACAAGGCGTCTTCTGTGCAAGTTGATACCGATCACAAACATTTTTTTGGGATTTGGAAGCCCAGTACTCTCCTGTTGCCCAATCCATCATAATATGCCAATTGGCGAGATGCGCTACCACTTTCCTTCCGAGTCATCACGCCAGCGGAGCGGTAAACTTTTATCGGTCGAGTATTATGGTTGATACGGAAGTAATGGATATCTGTTGTTATCCAGTCCGTAAGTATTGGAGATTGAACGTTACACCCTAAAAATTTAAATTTAGGGTATTTGGAAATATTCGCAGTTTCCGAAGCAATTACCGTCATTGTTTCCCAATGCTGATGGTAAGTCAAACTCGCTGATGGTATATCTTCTGGCGATCGCTCATCGTTGATATCTCTTTGTAGAAAAAAGGCATAAGAATCAAATAGCGAGATCATTGTCTGTTCAGCCATATCTAGGATAACAGGAGGTAAATTAATCGCTTCTTCAGGAGGCCAGATAATTAATGGTATCATAAGTCGATGATCGCTGGTAGAACGCTTTGCAATTTTATAATGCCAAGTTTGTGAGTGGGAGGTTGTTGCACATGCACTTTCATGCTCAAGGTGCCTTTTCCATACATGAACTCGACTCTGGCCAATATATATAGCAGTTGAATTTGCATTGTTATTTTGATTTGTATATAGGCGAATATATATACATTTTGAGCCTGGCTGTGGCCATGTAGGTGTTGCTTGAGGTAATTGAGTTAGTTGTTGAGTAAATAGATGTCTGTCTCCGTTAAAGTTCTCTAATAAGAATTTGACAGCAGGGATAATGGCAGAGATAATTGACGATATATGGTCTTTGAATAAGGTATTGTGGAGGAACTGAAGTCGTTTATTTGACATTCCAAGTTCCAATAAAGTCTCGACCTTCAGTTGGACGTTTCTCCAAAAGAGATATATATGATAATCGAGCAGTGAATGGCCATCCCGGTTAGCAACGATTAGAGATGGTTGTGGTCGCGCAGTGGATAACTTGTCGGTAAATGATCGATATAAAGCTCCAATTACGAGGAGATTGGAAGGTATTATAACTATACGAAAATGAAGAAAAGTTAGAGAATAGTCTGGTGTGTGGATTATTTAGTGATAAACAGTTTACCATCAATAAATCCGCCTTTACGAGGGAACACAACACGAGACCATTGCCTGCTTTGTTGAAGCAGCCATCCTTCTTCATTGGCGTTGATATGAACTGTCCCATCTGCTTGTCGTAGTTCGTTGGGTATTTTACCGCGAAGTGCTTCTGGGATATGAATTGCTGCATCATTATAAGAGAATGGCTGGGTGACAGACACTGCCCGTAAATCTTTGGCTTCAATATTGCTTGCTGGATACGGAGGGATTGATAGATGTTGCTCCATGACTGATATGAACTGGAGATCGAACGATAGAAGGATGCTGTCACCGAGAGATTAAACGATGATAGATTAATGATCACAGTGAAGACAAGGGAGGCATATAGAATACATCAATGTTTAAAGAAGAAATAAACATATGACTCTATTTAAGTAGCTCTATATCCTAGTTCTTAAGGCTGCGCATAGTTTAATATTAAAGTGAAGTGAAAACCAACATTGTAACAAAGCCGCACATATTCTGATGTCAAAGTGAAGTGAAGATCAGCAGGGTAATAAAGAAATAAGCATCCATGTAATTGTACATAAGCAACTATTTATTCTAGCCATGAAGACTCTACAGATCCTGGTAATGGAGTGAACTGAAGAATACCTGATTTTCAAGGCATTATATTCTGCAGAATCATGAGGCAGGAACGATAGAGCACTACCGTGTCTCTTTTCCCACGACGAAATTTTCTTTTTCTTACGATTATGTGAAGACAATTAATATTCCTTTCATGATCGACAAGTGTACAATCTGTCTTTAATTTTAATAACAATGTCTATTGTTTTAATTGATCCTTGCTCAATTGTGACTGCATTTTCCTTTTCCATTATTGATATGGAAATTTGTGACATAGCAGTGCCCCCACCGGCTGCTCCCACGCCTCCACCACTTCCGCAGTATACTGAGCGCTGCATCACTTCAACTTCAGGTTTGCGTTACCTTTGGCTGTAATGATTGATATATTATATGCTAACTGAATATATCCATAGTTGGCGAATTACAAGATAATGAAGAATGTAAACTAGCAGCATTAGAAGAACGGGTGAGAAGGTTGCGCTATCAACCACTTATTGCGCACCTTGTTTTTTCGCAAATCGATTGGTCAATACCCATCTTGAAATTAAGAAAGGAGAAATGCTGCCTCGTGGTTGGCAGTGGATGCAAGGGATTCCAAGGGAATGCAGCTAAAAAATATAGAGATCACTACAATACTCGTCACCATTTAGAATGGGAAGAGAACCAGAGAAAAAAAGCAATGTCAACGGAGCAAGAGGTCGAAAGTCCAGCACCCAAATTTCGATTACGGCCAACCATTATTGCTGCTTTTTACACTGTTGAAATGGATTTAGATTGATAGCATAATTCGGAGAAATAATGGGATATTGATTATTATATGGCGTATAAAATTAATGTTGGTGGTGCAAACGCAGTACACGCTTCCTACAGCTGGCGAAAAAGAAACGAAGCCCCCTCTACTCTTACCCATAAGTGCTCTTTTCCCTCCTCCCTCTCTTTTTCCACTGATGTTTATTTCTCTTCTTCTAGCATCACCATTTGTGCAAGATGGCTGAACAAACCCCCCAGCAGAACAATCGCCCAGTCATCCCCCCCCCGACGGCTTGAGTTATCCGACATACCTATTGACAAGAGCGACCGGCAATATGCTCATGCTGTATTGATTGTGGAATGCTACTGGAAACACGCGACGACGATGACGCGACAGGAACAAGACGAGTACATTTCGCTCCTGAACAGCAAAGCTTATAAGGCACCACCGAAAGAAAACCCATCGCCACAAGATTACAATCTATATTTTCTATATAGAATTAGTGGTGGAAGTTGGCCCAAGTTCGTAATGTTAACAAGCATGTTTGGCGAAATCAAGAGCCTCAACGGCCCAAGCGGCAGGACAATCACCAATCTTGCCCACGAATACCGTCGGTATCACCGAGATCCAGATCGATCGAAGAATCTTTCATCTACTATTCCGCAGAAAAGAGAACGTGATGATGCTTCGTTGCATCAATCCAAGGCCACATCAACTGCGGATGCTGTGGCACCTTCTTCTACTACAGATGGTACTACTCCCGTTGACAAAACCGATGTGAAACGGGAATTCAAGATGAATAATGCAAAATCGAGCACCACGATCGACTTGACCAATAATGCACCAACAATCACGGCCATTGAGGGAACCAAGCTACCAGAAATCTCAATGCCCAAGGCAACCCAGGCAACGCAACTGCCCGATATCAAAAGCATGAACAAAGCCGGTCGTCTGCTCGGACTGGAAGAGAAAATTGATCGATTGCTGGGATTGGAAGGCAAAATTGACCGTTTGCTTGGATTGGAAGAGAAGATTGACCGGTTGCTCGAATTGGAAAGCAAAATTGACCGTTTAATTGGTTTGGGAGGCAAGATTGAAGGCCCACAGGGATTGGAACGCAAAATCAACCAACTTGCGGAGTTGGGACCCAGAGTTGAAGCCTTCCTCAATAGCCTCGACTTTTTGGTTGGGATCGAGGATCCTTAGTTGATTAGCTGCAACAGGGCAGGGACACCGCGATGGAATAGATACATACTAGTAGTGTTAATAGCAGCAGTCGATTGCTACTAGGTAGATTGAAATGACAACTAATCATCATAATTATAGCTTACTCAAACTGTAAAATTGCTCTGCGAAACCGAGAACCTGGCTCAATTGTAGCTCCCTTCTCTGCCTCTATGACAGGATGAAATAGTCATAATGAAAGAAAACTACGACATTATACATTTAGATATACGTTATACCTACGGCTATAATGTGAAATATAATTTACACCATATAAAGCGCAACTACGAGATATAGCAAGAAGGTATACCGATAAGTGACCGGTATAAGCTGGTAAGAGAAGTTATCCTTTGTTCATGACGGGGGACTTGCAGCGGTAGTATCAGGTATGAGGACTTTTACGCGGTGCACTTGTATCGTGTCTGTGGAAAGGCAAGTGTTAAAGCCTCACGGGGCCAGTCTACTGCAAGGTCTATAATATAGATATGTGCTACAAGGCTTGGTTTATTGGCACTTTGGACTAGCCAGTTGAGATTTATTTATAACTCGTAGCTGTAACTTGTAGCTGTAAAATTGTAGCTGTAAAATCGTAGCTGTAAAATCGTAGCTGTAACTCGTAGCTGTAACTTATAGCTGTAACTCGTAGCTGTAAAATTGTAGCTGTAAAATCGTAGCTGTAACTCGTAGCTGTAACTCGTAGCTGTAACTCGTAGCTGTAATTACCTATTAATTGTAGATGTATGTTTGTATTTATTGTCCAATTATATTGTTAATCTCGCATTACGTTTTGCCTGCGAATTTGTATAATGAACGAACGAGCCTGGGTTAAGTTGAACAGCAAATAAAAACTTTTCATTTAAGATTGACGATATGATGTAAGTGGAGCTATTGAAATATTAAGAGAAAGTAAGCTGGAGAAATGCGAGAAAAAAAAAAGATTAAAGAAGAGGAAAATTGGCATAACCATGCAACAAATAAGATGAAATAGAATAACGCCTTAACCCAAATCGAAGACTCTCTTGCTGAAAATGCCCAAACCCCAAGGATCTCGCGTTGATGATTTAATGATGATTGCATCCAGCAATATGCTCCTCGAATTGGCGTCGAAGTTGATCATACGCCACAGCCTGATTATAGATCACTTGAAGAAGAGAGCTGTTCTCTTCTTCGAGTGATTGTGCTTTCTCCTCCAATTCGGCAATTTTAGCTGAAAGAGAAGATTCACCCATATTGGTGGTCGGTGTCGGCTCAAGTCGGGGAGAGTAGACGGGACTCTGTGGCTCGAGGGATGGAGCCTCAAGAATAGTGGTTGATTCGTTTAATGCAGAATTTGGATCAACAAGGTCGACGACGGGTGAGTAAGGTGGACTCTTGTTTTGTCCCTCATCGGAATCCGACGCATTCGTTATTGGCGTTGAAGGCTGAGGTAGGAAAGGATCTCGCGGTTGACGAGAACGAGGGGGGTGAGAAGGGGGAGCAGGTTGAGACGCTGCATCACCATCAATAGCTGGCGCTCCAGACTGATAAACCGAGATTGGTGACGGCAACGATGCATTATCGCCCGGCATGTGATGCGCTGTCGATGACTCATTGATTAATAGATTGGCCGTAGGAACATTCTCTTGGATCGTTGGCGATGGATACCAGTAATGGTTGTAGTATTCGGAGTAATCCCCAATTTCGAACAATCCATCTCCCTCTTCAATAATACGCCGAAGATAGCTGAGATTCCAAATACCATATATAGCAGCCAGCATAACAAAATATGCACGGCAATAGGTATTGTTTCAGTCTATAAGATACTTCCACAACTTATTGTTACTTGGTGCATTACGGTTAGACGGACTCAATATATAATCAGAGCTGCGAATCATTCGGACATATGTTGCTTGCTCGTCTGGTGTCATCAATACCGCTTGTCGATGATAATAATCCACAACGTGGATTGCGATTTGATATGAATCATGAGTGCTGCTGATCATGACATCGTCATAGTCCAGCTTCAAAGGTCTCGGGTATGGGTAGTCGTCGGCCATTATGATAATCGTGCTGGGAAAAAGTTAGATGGATAAATAAATAGATAGATAGCGAGCGATTTTAACGAACGGATAATTGCGATTCTAGGGATGTAAAATGTCCGGAAAGAGATGGTATATGGAGGATTGTTGAATGTTTGGATGTTGTTGGGACGATGATTGAAGATTGTGATGATGAAGAAGAAAGGAAGAGGCAGAAGGAGAGAGAATGTTGGAAATGGCTCTTGAACCCTAGAGCCTCAAGCATCATATATACAACTGCATAATGATAGTCATGTATTGACAATTGCTAACTGCACGCAGCTGTCAGTCACGTCGTGACACGTCTCTCTCCAAGCAACTTGCTATTTCTTGTACAAACGCGTGCTCTACCCCGCTAAGAGAAGAGAGATTTAGAGCAATATGGTATTGGATGCTAAATTTACAATACAAGCTCATGAATTTTACACAGTACGTGCACTCTAAAACTCGCACTGTATTTTATAGCGCCGGGAGCAATCTAGTCCGGAACGACCGTAGGGAGTGAAGGTGTTGCTGGATTGTCGACCAGAGCGGTCATTAATGGGAATTCTCATCTGCATCGGTAAGTTTTTGGAAGAAAAATACACTGTATAAGCTTTCCTTTAGCGTTAAAAAAAGGAAAGCTGTACATGTACAGGTTTCCTTTCGCGCTAAAAAAAGGAAAGCTGTACATGTACAGGTCCAGGTTTCATGGGTGACCCAAGAACAGCTTAACCGTACACTCAATTTTGACAGACCTAAATGAGGCGTTTGGCAAGCGAAGGGAGCCCGAGTTGATTCGCTCTAGTGGTTTCTGCCTCAGGCATGACATTACTGCCTCAGGCACCACACTCTAGGCAGCATTGTGGGGCGATGGCGCACGGACCAAGCCTTCTTCTATAAAAGAATCTCGCCGCCGCGCGCCCTTTCAGTTTTTCTTTTCTTCTTTTCTTCTGCATACTTACCTTGCCTAAGTAGATTTCGAGCTCAAGAAGTCGGAGTACTAGTGTGGAGGGCCTGCATTGCACATCGCGGAGTCGACTCCTCGCTCCATTGTCCTTCGGGGCCATGGGAGGCGCAATTTTTGATTTTGAAAGCTTCGGCTCTTTTTTTGTTTTCATTGTGTTGCTTCTGCTTGCGGGAGCCACGAAGAAGACTTTCGTGATTTACAAGGTGTCGTTGGCTTGTGCTGGGAGGTGCCTCGCGGTCGTGGGGAACTGTCAACAAGAAACAGAAATACGCTTGGTATCTACCCAGTGTGTGGCGCGTCGTGGCCCGAAGAATGGTATCTCAAACTGTTGTTTCCGTCATCACCGCTGACATTCCCTCCTCTTTCACGTCGATAGGTTCCCGACTTTCGCGGTCGCTGCTATCTCGCGTTCAGTTTGTTCGTCGACTTCGCCAAGTTACTGCGGCGTCCAGTTCGTGAACCAACGTCGTTGGTATGAGGCCAACGTCTCCATCTCTGCAGTGCTCGATGGACGATTTGGCGAACTACAGCGTCTTGTATTCGAGCAGTCTTGTGGTGAGTAGTAGTTTTCTCACATCATCTGCCGGCCAAGTCACACATTGTTATCAAATCATGACCTAATTTTGACAGCCCTAATGCATTGTTTTCATCCGCTCATCTATCCATCTATTATGTACCTTTTGAAAAACACAGCCCATCACGTTCTCGGGCTTCTCAAAAAGCTCACCACGCCGCTGCAATATCCAACCAAATCATCCAGCCTGTTGCATTCCTTCTCCTGCTGTCCCTTCCACCCCTCAAGAGCTTTTAGCAGCGCCTTGTTTTCCATCACCATGTCAAAGTGAAGTCGGAGGAACACCGTCATCCACGCCTGCGTCAGCTCGTAATCCTTTCGCGCTTGTAACCGTGTCGTAAGAGCTTGGATAAAGTGGAGGAGCTCGTTGGAGTCGTCATCCTCACCCAGGGAAAGCGATCGAAGCTCAAGATCCGCAGTCGAGGGAGAGAGAGATTTGAGGTGCTCAATGAAAGCATCGTCTGGTTAAAAGAGAAGGGGAAAAGCGTCAGTGTTTTAGCTTGGTAATACCTGGAGAAGAAAGAAAACTTACAGTTGCCGTTGGCAGCGCCAGCACGCAGCTTCGACGTGAACGTTTCCTCAAATCGAGCCTTGTCGTATCTACTGATACGAGACTTGCTCCCGTTTTCTGGTTCATCTGATCCGTCCTTGGCCCCTGCTTGCGCTCCGGATGTGGATGGCAAGAAGAAGGGCGCCTTTTCGGGGAGTTTAGGTGCCTCCGTCGGCTTATTACGCTCCTTGATCAGATCCAGATGGAGCAGCGTCTGCCATCTGCTCTTGGGAACCAAGCTGAGCGTCATTAGGTCGGCACTGATTTGATCAACAGTAGGCGCGACGACGCCGACGTCGTCTTCTGCCTTGTCCTCCTCAAATGCTGCCTCCAGCAAGCCGAGGTTTCCTTCTCCGGACGTCGTAGGCGCAGTCACCAAGTCGATTTCGGCTTCGGATATCTGGCGAGTCGGGACGTGTTTATACAGAGCCTTGTTCGTCCATATCGTGACACCAGGGCTGTCTTCCAGAGCAGCAGCCAGGTACTCGCCTGTGTATGACATGGCCACAGCTTTGCACGGCTTCTCCAGTCGAATGGCGTCGATGAGATGGCTCGTGGGCAGATCCCATATCCTTATGACCGAATCGCGAGAGGCGGCAATGATCCACCTTCCGTCGTTTGAAAAGCAAAAGTCGTTGATGGCATCCTTGGGGCCCCAGAACTCTCGAATGGTCTTTTTCGTTTCCAGGTCGACAATTCGAATGGACAGGTCATCGCAAGAAAAGGCCAAGAGGTTGTTAGCAGGGTGGTAACGGCAGCCAGTCGGAAATGTCATGGGCGCCCAGTCCAACTGCTCCAAGAGGGTTCCTGTCAAGAAATCCCAAAATTTGATCTTGCCGTCTAGCGCACAAGACACCACAGTCTTGTTCATAGAATCAACAACCAGGCCGGTAATGGCCTGAGTATGCTTGCCAACGCCGGCGGGATACTTTCGGTTGCCTTCGCTTTGCAGCTGAACAACGTCATCTGCCTGTCGAAGCTGCTGCATTTTCAGCTGACGGGCTTGTGCCGGCGTCAACTTGGAGGGGAAGCGTTGGCGGTGAACACCGGACTGAAGATTGTACATGTCGATACCGCCAGCCCCGGAGCCGACCAACGCAAACGTTCCGCAGGGGCTAATGGCAACAGTTGTGACGTTGGTGCCATCGCCAGTTGGGAATGCCCAGCGACCAGCTCTCTTTCGACCCCAGAACCAGGTGCGGGCGAAAGGGTCGCCTTTATGAGCGGTGACTACACTCTCCCAGCCCGTCATTCCGCTAATCTCCGCATCCATCTTCTTCTTGGGGTCCCGTCCCTTCTGCCAAATCTCTTGCTTGCCAGGCAAGGCGCCAATGCCACCATCGCGGTTAAGTGAAGTGGCAATGCATGTGATTTCGGGAGCTTTGAGGTCTTCCAATGTTGTCGTTGGGCCATGCGCGAGAGCATTGCTGGCCAGGATGCCAATCTTCTTTGCCTTCTTCCGTATGTTACCCTGGCTCAGCTCTGTGCTCTGACCATCACGACGCATGCTCCATCCCCAGAGACTCCTATCCTTGCCGCCGCTGATGATCCATTTATTTCCAGCTTCAGCACCATCGAAATCGGAGGGCAAGAATTGGAGGCAATTAACAGGGCCAGAGTGTCCGCTCCGAGAATGCAGGATCCTTGGGATGGGCGAGAAAGGCGCCTCATCAAAGATCCATGACTTGAGCGAGTTGTCTCGGCCGCTGGACACAATGACTGCCTGACCAGCCAAAAATTCAACTTTGCTGATGCCACCGCGGACGTCACCGCCATCACCTGAAGGTGGGTTGTGGGCACTTCGAAGAACTCCCATCACACGACCTCCCTTATTCAGATCCCAAAAGGTAATGTCGCCTGAGGACGGTGTAGCTGTGGCCATGACACCATCTTTTCTGCCATCATGTCCAGCTCCCATACCGTCGGTTCTGAACGATATCGAAGTAATGGGCGCCTCTGGGCTTCCAGCTTCGACTTGGAGAGCCCGCTTGTCGGTGAGAACATTGGTGATGACTAGGGTACCGCTTGAGTAGGCAATGGCCAGCAAGGAGAGGGCTGGAGTGGGTTCGAGACAGGTCACGGCGCCAGAGTCGGGAGAAGGAGATAAAATGGTGTATATCAACTTTCCAGTGCTGACGTTCCAGATCTCGACCCAACCATCTTTGCGACCAACGAAGATCTTGTTGAGGAATGTTGGCATAGTGACGACGCCGCTGGTGATTTCGTGGCCGCCTTTGGTAGCAGCCATGGTGTGGATGGTAGTGTAATGCTCGAGCGTCGCGGTTTTGAAAACCTCAATCCTCGTCTTCGCGCAAGCGATTAACCAGGTTCCAAAGATGGTGATTTGCTGGATTGGCTCCGTCAGGTCGCTGGGGAGAGCTACCTCGTCAATCTTTCTACCTCTTTGGAAGACCCATAGGCCCCGAGGCTCGCCATCCTGCGATCCACCCCATGCGGCAAAGACCTTCTTCCCCCAGGCATACGTAGCAGTGATATCCGCGAGCGTCTGCGGCCGGGTGACAAAGACTAAGTTGAGACCTCGAAGCAAATCGTAAGTTTGCAGAGATCGGCCGACCGATGTTGTAATTTGGAAAGTAGTCTTTCCCAGTGGAAAAGACGTAAAAGGGATACTCGATGGAGAGACGAGGCCAACAGTCTGCACAGTAAGCAGTCAGAGTCATGCATCTGGCTACTAAAAGCTATTTTTTATAGGAAGAGGGCATCGCATATACGTACTCGGAAAGGAGCAAAGATTCGGGAGGAGTTGCTTGAAGCTGGAGGCGCATTGGCCAAAGTCGACACTTTCTGGCGCTTTGCCAGCGGCCCATCGGGATCGGAATGCGGCATCTTTGCGCTGGTGTTGTGCAGCGTTTCGCGATTCGTCGTCGAGAGCAGCACTCGCTTTGTCGTGGATCTGTAAATTTTTGGCGGTGATGGATACTGCCGTTTTCTGCCGCTTACCTAATGAGCCGCTAGCCATGACGAGTGGCTGGAGCGGGACAGCATGTGTCCGCCACAGGGCACCGCCACATGTCCTCCAGGTCGAATCAAGCAGATGTGCTCCGGAAGTGTATGAAGAAATCATCCCAAGTGTGCAGCATGAATCATTTCCCTTGATTGAAATAACATCATATTGATTGAGGATAGATGCCTTTGGCTGCTTGAAAAGAATCTGCACAGATGCTGTTTGATGCAATATACGCAAATATATCGCCCGTGTACATTTGAGGTTAATCCGAACGCTTACGGCACAATCCCTAGATTCTGCAAAGTGTCAATACATGTCACAGAGCTTCTACTTCGTATCAATCTTCAGCAAACTCTCTTTGATCGCCATAGAGCCAATCACATGTGTCGGATGACCACCTTTTTGATGCGTTTGAATCCTCGGTGCGGTTACACGTACGGCATCTGCTGCCTCTAAGAGTCTACTGTGTTGCACACTTAACAAACCTCATTACCGTGTTCCGTCTGATCTATCCCCAAACTGCAGAGCGAATCAATGAGATAAAGAATAGAAGCCCTCACAGACTTGTCATGGTAGCTCGACGACGGCCTCACCGCTAAGTGGATTTGGACGTCAATAAGTGATTCTGTTGGTTGGTTTCGCTCAGACTTGTCCCCTTGCAGCCCCAGGGCATCAATTTCCATTCGCCAATTCGGCTTTTGCCCCTCCATTGCAGCTTGTTCCCTCTTTTTCTCTTCCTTGGAGCCAAGCATATCCTTGTCATGGACGGTCCTCAGCTCCCCGATTTGCCCCTCGTTGACTGACGCTACATGTGGCTTGAGCCAATGAAACCTTGGAATCGCTACCAGGGACAAGCCTAGAGAAGGAAAAAAAAATGTCTCTGGAGCGACTACGAGTACAGTAGCCCGGTTACACTACTAGGTAAGGTTTTGATAGAGTTCGATATACAAGTAGGTACATACACATGGCCACTGAGCAAGGCAATGCCCTTTTGATTCTTCTTCTCCCATCTAAAGGCCATCTTTCTTTCAATCCAGCCCTTTTTCATTACTATCCTGATCCAATTCCAGCCCCCACGTGTCTTGCTGCAGCGTGCACTCCGTGATTCGCCGCTTTCGGATGATGTCACCGCCCGCCCGTGTCTAGCACCGGACGATTGCTCCTGCGAATTACTTGTACTGACCGCACAGAGTGGGTTCCTCCCGGATCCCGTTCGGCGAGAGACTCCAGTCTTTTCTTTTCCTTTCCTCCTGCTTACCTCCAGATCGTTAGTCGATAGACTACCTATTCCCCTCCGCCAGCCCGTTCCAAGGCTTCTCTCTGCTGGCAAGCCTCCGCCACAATCCGTATCATGGACCCTTCAAGTGCCAGCTTCAGCGATCCCGCCATGGCCAACCAAGAGGCTCCGCTGCCACCACCCTCAGAAGCCTCGTACGACGCCAGTGCCGCCAATTCGTCGCCGTCCACCTTGCCGTCCCAGCCATCGAGGCAATCCCGCAGCGTGTCGGTTTCTTCGTTCACGGGCTCAGTCAGCAGCAAGAGCCGCTATGCCGAGCCGGGCACCTCCGATGTCCACGCCGAACGACCCAGCTTCTCTAGCAGCCCTCACTCTTCCAATTTTCTCAAAGGTGCTCGATCGATGAGTTCGTATAGTCGACGACACTCGACCGCTTCTGAAGCCCTGACTGAGGAACTCTACCTGGGAGAATCTCAGCAGGAGCAGGTCTTCTCTGACAACGATACTCCCCGGATGCGCCCCAATCCAGATGTTTCAGCCAACCACTCGGCTCTCCCCGAACCCGCTCTGACTACCAAGTCGTCGTTTTCAGATTCTCACTCAATTCGATCGAAGCGTCTGTCGGGAACATCGTTGTATTCGTTGGCTTCGGCACGTGGCGTCATCATCAGCCCATCGCAATCCAATCCAGCGTCTGATCAAGGACCGCCTCCGCGATCGGTACCGAGTCTGATGTCGTCCGGAAAAGGGCCAGCCTCGGCCCAGCCTGAAGCCGCAGTGTCTAGCGTCACCGTCACCACCTCTTCAGGCAGCCAGTCGGGCCATGGGTCGCCTAATAACGCTCACAGCCTCGCGGCCAGAGATTCGCAGCCGCCCCATCTTGATCTCGTCAGGCGAAACCAACGATCCGAAACCATGCGAAGTACCCAGCCCGATCGTTCTCGGAGTAGAGCAAAGAGACGCTTCAGTGGAAGCACTGCATATAGCAGCCAGAGCCCAAGTAGTGAGCGAGGACCGCATCATCGAGAGAAGGAAGAAGGTTCGTCTGGAACCGATTGTCGATCGGGCAAGTCTCCTGCGTTGGATTATACATTATAGCTGACAACTATGCTTCAGTCAAACCCGCGCCGCTGGGTGTTATTGGCATATGCGCTCTCGATATCAAGGCCAGAAGCAAGCCGAGCCGGAACATTCTGAATCGCCTTATAGCGAACCGCGAGTTCGATGTGGTGGTTTTTGGTGACAAAACCATTCTCGACGAAGGTATGATTTTTCTTCGATTTCACCAGCCTCGAGTCAGAAAAAAGACAGATCGTCTTTAATGTTTTCTTGAAAAGGATGGTGTTACTAACAGAAATTTTTTCGCGTATAGAGGTTGAAAATTGGCCAATGTGGTGAGCAATTCCCTTCTCGGTCAGCGTAAAGAGGATAGTGGCATGATCCCCTTGGCGTATAAACCAGATGACAAAAACAACAGACCACAGAACACGCAATCTTGGCTAACAGTTTTCAGTGACTATTTAATATCATTCTACTCGGATGGATTTCCTTTAGAAAAGGCCATTGCATATATAAAGACGAGGAAGCCCTTCTGCGTCAACGATGTGCCGATGCAAAAGATCCTCTGGGACAGGCGTGCGTGCTTGCGTCTGCTGGACAAGATCCAAGTTCGTACGCCAAAGCGCCTCGAAGTGACACGGGACGGTGGCCCAAAGGTTCTCACTCCAGAAATGTCACGGTATATCAAGGAAGTGTCCGGAGTGACGCTGGATCCTGCTGACCCGGACAACACTCCACCGCCAACAAAAGTTGAACTTGTAGACGACGGAGATGTTCTCAGTGTCGATGGAGCCCTTCTCAAGAAGCCCTTTGTAGAGAAACCAATTAGCGGCGAAGATCACAACATCATCATATATTTTCCAAAGAGCTCTGGAGGAGGAGCACGGAAGTTGTTCCGAAAAGTTGGAAACAAGAGCTCTGAATACATTCCCGAGCTCAACGTCCCTAGGGCCATCTCCGAACCCGAAGGCAGCTACATCTACGAAAGCTTTATGGAAGTGGACAATGCCGAGGACGTCAAAGCATATACTGTCGGCCCTCAGTACTGCCATGCGGAAACCCGCAAGTCTCCCGTTGTAGATGGCATCGTTCGACGCAACACGCACGGCAAGGAGCTGCGCTATGTGACGAGCCTCGGTGCGGAAGAACGAGAAATTGCTCGCAAGATTTCGACTGCTTTTGGGCAGAGGGTCTGCGGATTCGATTTGCTCAGAGCTTCGGGGAAGAGCTATGTCATTGATGTCAACGGCTGGAGTTTTGTCAAGGACAATGAGGATTATTACGAGCATTGCGCCAGCATTCTAAAGGATGTCTTCATCAAAGAAAGAATGCGCCGTGGCGGCATAACACCACCGCCGGTTGCTTCTCCCGCCCCGTCTTCGGAAGCCGACCCTATCGCCAAAGCAGGACAGACGATTACGGAACACGAGCAATCAGGAGGCACAAACACCACCGGGGCTACAGCCAACCTGCCCGTATCTGCGGCGAAGCCAAACAACAGCACAACACAAGCTGAACAACCCAGTCAAGCTGAGTCGGCACTGGTCCCCCCTAGCGGTACGGCATCGCCCACCATAGAGAGTGCGCGGACGTCCGTTGGCCAGAGCTCGGCAGGGAGCCCCTTGCTACCGCAGCCGCTGCTCCCGCCATCAGATATTGTGTCGCCCAGCGTCTTATCATCGACTCCCAGGTCCAGCAAGGATGCATCACAATCTCCTGCTGGTCCTTCGGCGCAGGAAGAAGACGTGGCTGAACCTACGCCTCCCCCTCCCCCTCCGAAGCACTCGTGGAAGCTGAAGGGCATGGTTTCAGTTATCAGACATGCGGACCGGACTCCCAAGCAAAAGTACAAGTTTACCTTTCACACTGAGCCTTTCATCGATCTCCTCAAAGGCCACCAGGAAGAAGTGCTCCTTATTGGAGAGCCTGCCCTGGCGAGCGTGATACAGGCCGTAGATGTTGCCTACATACAAGGCGTTGAGGACCGAGAAAAACTTCGATCTCTCCGAAACGTCCTTGTTAAAAAGGGAAGTTGGGCTGGAACCAAGGTGCAGATCAAGCCCATGTTCCGCAAGAAGAAGACGGAGCCAGTGCCGGAAAGCGAGGAAGCTCCCCAGCCGGGCCAAACCGGCGATAGCACGCCCCTGGTCCCCGGAGACGAGGCAGATAAAGCTGAGGGGCGATCATCCAAACGGCATGATTCAGTTTCAGAAGTCACCATGTCCAAGTTTACCGCCGCGGAAGAGAGCCTAGTCCTCGACAAGCTTCAGCTCATTGTCAAATGGGGTGGCGAGCCGACCCATTCGGCAAGGTACCAGTCACAAGAGTTGGGAGAGAACATGCGTAATGATTTGATGCTGCTGAACAGGGACATCCTCGACGAGGTCCACATCTATAGCAGCTCTGAGAGGCGAGTTACTGCTAGCGCACAGATCTGGGCTTGCTCCTTTTTAGGCCAGAAAGAACTCCCGGAAGACTTCATCACCATCCGCAAGGACCTTTTGGATGACTCTAATGCCGCCAAGGATGAAACAGACAAAGTCAAGAAGAAGCTCAAGGGGCTGCTGCGTGAGGGCAATGAGC